TTGTGTCCCTAGTCCTTCCAGTTCCCCCCAGCATCTCCCCAGTGCCCCCCACTATCCCACAGTGCCTCCCAGTATCCCCACAGTGCTCCCCAGCCTCCTTCCAGTCCCTCCCAGCCCTTCCAGTGCTCCCAGTGCCCCCAGTGCCCACTCACAGTTCCCACAGTGCTCCCAGTGCCCCCTCCCAGTGCTCCCAGTGTTCCCAGTGCCCACTCACAGTTCCCACAGATGAAGAGGATGACGAAGTAGACGCAGACGAGCATCCCAGGGAAGACAGGCCCGCCATAAGCCATGATCCCATCATACATCACCGCGTTCCAGTCCTCCCCAGTTAGGATCTGGGCCAAAAATGGGGGGAGGGACACACCCCAAAACCTCAGCGTCCCCCTCCCAGTGATCCCAGTGCTCCCAGTACACCCCCAATTCAAGCAACGTGGCCTCCCAGTCCCCCCTCTGTCAGCCACCCACAGGACTGCAACTTGGGGAGGGGGGAGATTTTCCAGCCACATTTTAGGGTCTCATCAAAGTTTTGGGGTCCCTCACAAGGTTTTGGGGTCCCCTACCAGAATTTGGGGTCTCTAAAGGTGTTTTGGGGCCTCTGAAAGGGGTTTGGGGTTCCCCTACAAAGTTTTGGGGTCCCTAAATGGGTTCTGGAGTCCCTAGAGGGGTTTCTGGTTCCCTAAAAGGTGTTTGGGATCTCCCTACAAGGATTTGGGGTTTCTTAAGGGCATTTTTGGTTTCCTAAAAGGAATTTGGAGTCTCCCTACAAGATTTTGGGGTCCCTAACAGGATTTCAGGGTCTCTAATAGGGTTTTTGAGTACTTAAAAGGGGTTTGGAGTCCCTAAGAGGATTTTGGGGTCCTCAAGAGGGGTTTGGGGTGTCCATACAAGGTTCTGGTGTCCCTAAATGGGTTTAAGGAGTCTCTAAGGTGAGGGGTTCTGGCTCCCTAAGGGGATTTTGCAGTCTCTAAAGGGGTTTTGGGTGTCTCTAAAGGGGATTTTGGGGTTCCTAAGGGGGCTTTGGGGTGTCTCTAAGGGGGATTTTGGGGTCCCTAAGAGGGTTTGGGGTCTCTAAAGAGGATTTTGGGGGCCCCTAAGGTGGCTTTTGGGGTCCCTAAGGGGGATTTTGGATGTCTCTAAAAGTGGTTTTGGGGTCTCTAAAGGGGATTTTGGGGTCTCTAAAGGGGATTTTGGGGTCCCTAAAGGGGGTTTTGGGTGTCTCTAAAGGGAATTCTCGAGTCCCTAAGAGGGTTTTGGGGGACTCTAAAGGGGTTTTTGGGGTCCCTAAAGGGGGATTTTGGGTGTCTCTAAAGGGGATTTTCGGGTCCCTAAGGGGGTTTTGGGGGACTCTAAAGGAGTTTTGGGGTCCTTAAGGGGGTTTTTGGGGTCTCTAAAGGGGATCTTAGGGTCCTAAGGGGGTTCAGGGCACCTGGAAGACGGTGAGCAGGGCCTGGGGGAAGGTGTCGAAGGTGCTGCGCTTGGTCTGCGTCTCGTCGAAGCTGAAGCGGCCGCCGAAGAGCTGCATGCCCAGCAGTGCGAAGATGATGATGAAGAGGAAGAGCAGCAGCAGCAGCGACGCGATGGACTTCATGGAGTTCAGCAGCGAGCCCACCAGGTTGCTCAGCGACGCCCAGTGCCTGGAGGAGGGGGGGGGTACTGGGGTTACTGGGAGCACTGGGATGGTCACCTCTCGGTGTCACCGTGTTGTCACCTCAACACTGTTGCCCCCATCCCCACGTTTTTCCCAACACCACGTCATCCCCATCACCCTGCTGTCCCCAGCACGGTGTTGTCCCCAGGCCACCAAACCTGTGCTCTGTGGAGACAACAGGCGGCTCTGTGTCAACCTACAGCACCCCCAACACCGTGCTGACCTTGTCACCTTGCCATCCCCACCACCAACACCAACCCTGTCACCCTGTTGTCCCCATCACTGTGTCACCTCTCTGCCACCAAAGCGGCGCTTCACAGAGCTGAGAAGCGACTGTGTCAACCCACAGTGTCCTCAGTTGTCCTTGTCACCAGGCTGTCCCTGTCACCGTGTCACCCCAACACCACACTGAGTGTCACCGTGTCACTCTCACCACCATGTTGTCCCTGTGCCACCAGACTGGAGCTCTACAGAGGCAGCTCAGTATCACCTCCTGGTGTCCCCAACACCACGCTGTCCTTGTCACCCTGTCATCCCTGTCACCCTGTTGTGCCATCACCCTGTCATTCCTGTCATCCTGTCATCCCTGTCACCTTGTCACCCATCACCCCATCGTGCCATCACCCTGTCATCCCTGTCACCCTGTCACCTGTCACCCTGTTGTGCCATCACTCTGCCATCCTGTTGTGCCATCACCCATCATCCCTATCATCCTTGTCATCTTGTCACCCATCACCCTGTCATCCTATCACCCTGTCATCCCTGTCATCTTGTCACCCATCACCCTGTCATCCCTGTCATCCCTGCCACCCTGTTGTGCCATCACCCTGTCATCCCTGTCACCTTGTCATCCATCACCCTGTCATCTTGTCACCCATCACCCTGTCATCCCTGTCACCCTGTGATCCCTGCCACCCTGTTGTGCCATCACCCTGTCACCTTGTCATCCTTGTTACCTTGTCATCCCTGTCACCCTGTCATCCCTGTCACCCTGTCATCCTTGTCATCTTGTCACCCATCACCCTGTCATCCTGTTGTGCCATCACCCTGTCATTCTTGTCACCCTGTCATCCCTGTCACCCTGTCACCCATCACCCTGTCACCCTGTCATCCCTGTCACCCTGTCATCCTTGTTACCTTGTCACCCATCACCCTATCACCCTGTCACCCTGTCATCCCTGTCACCCATCACCATGTCACCCCTGTCACCGTCACCCCCTTCACCACCCCGTGCCACCAAACAGCCGCCTCACATCTCTGCCTCTCCACATCCCCTTCAGCACCCCCACCTCCCCGTCACCCTTCCCCACCCGTCCCTCTCTCCCCCCTCACACCCACCTGGTGACCTTGAAGACTCTCAGCAGGCGCACGCAGCGCAGCACGGAGATGCCCAGGGGCTCCATGGCACCGCGCTCCACCAGCGCTGTCTCCAACACCCCGCCGCACACCACGAAGCAGTCGAAGCGGTTGAAGAAGCTGGCGAAGTAGCAGGAGGGCCCCAGGGCGTACAGCTTCAGAACCATCTCGGCAGCAAACAGGGAGAGCAGGGCTTTGTTGGCGTAGGCTGTTTGGAGGGGGAAAAAAGGGTGGATTTTGGGGGCTGGGGTGACCGTGCGGTGGTGGGGTGACTCAGAGCCATCGTCAGCTCTGAGGAGAGTCTGTTTGGTGGCACGGGGATGATAGGGTGATGGGACACGATGGGGACAGGATGGGAGGGTGACAGGAATTACGTGGTGACAGGGGTGAAGGTGACAGGGATCAGGGGGTGACAAAGATGAAAGGGTGAGAGGGAGAAGAGGGTGACAAGGATGATGTGGTGACAGGGATGATACGGTGACAGGGATGAGAAGGTGACAAAGATGATGTGGCGGCAGGGATGACATGGTGACAGGGACAAGAAGTGACAAAAGTGAGAGGGTGACAGGGAGGAGAGGGTGATCGGGATGACATGGTGACAAGGACAAGAAGGTGACAAGGACAAGAAGGTGACAAGGACAAGAAGGTGACAAGGATGAGAAGGTGACAAGGATGAGAAGGTGACAAGGATGATGTGGCAGCAGGGATGACATGGTGACAGAGACAAGGTGACAAAAGTGAGAGGGTGACAGGGATGACATGGTGACAAGGACAAGAAGGTGACAAGGAGGAGAGGGTGACAGGGAGGAGAGGGTGACAGGGATGATGTGAAGGCAGGGACAAGAAGGTGACAAAGGTGAAAGGGTGACAGGGAGGACAGTGTGACCAGGATGACATGGTGACAAGGACAAGAAGGTGACATGGCCCACAAGAACAACATAATGCTGGGGTCACTGTGGGGTGACAGAGAGCCACCTCTCACCTCCACGAAGAGCACAGGGGACAACGCGGCGATGGAGCGGCACAGCAATGGGGACAAAGAGTGCCAGGGTGACACGGTGACCCCGTACCTTGCGTCTCGGTGAGCCACTGGGGCTGCCCGTGGTGCTCGGAGGCGATGGTGAGGGTGTTGAGGAAGACGAGGAGCAGCACAGTCCAGTAGAAGGAAACGGATTTCACCGCCCCGCGGCACCGCCGGCGCAGAACCCGGTTCAGGCGGCGCAGGCGGCGCCTGGAGGGGAGGATGAGGTGAGCTGGGGGGGATCTGGAGGGGGGTTGGATGGTGTCGGGGGGATCTGGAGGGTGATGGGGGTGGTTGGGGGTATATGGGGGGATTTGGGGGGTTTGTGGAGGTGGTTTGGGGTAAATCGGGGGAAGTTGGGGGATTAAAGGGGTGGCTTGGAGGAATTTGGGGAGTTATGGGAGGTGGTGTGGGGTATATGGGGGCATTTGGGGATTTATTAGATGGTTTGGGGTATATCGAGGGGATTTAGGGATGATTGGGGTGGTTGGGGGTATATGGGGGGATTTGGGGGGTTTGTGGAGGTGGTTTGGGGTATTATCAGGGGAATTGGGGGGATTATAGGAGTGGTTTGAGGGATATTGGGGGAATTTTGGGGTTTATGGGGATGGTAGGGATACACGAGGGGGATCTGTGGGCACCATGAGTGAGTTTTGGAGTATATGGGGAATTTGGGGCATAACAGCAGTAGTTTGGGTGTACAACAGCAGGACTAGGGGGCAATGTTGGGGGGTGGTTTGGGGTACACTGGAGGATTTGGGGGCATTGTGGGGGTACAGTGGGTAGAGTTGGAGACACACGGATGCTGTTGGCTGTGTGGATTTGGGGGGGGGGCACAGCATGCCCCCATTTCTTCAACTCACCAAAATTTTGTCTTGGTAATTTTGCCCCTGGGGAGGGAAAAGAAAGCACAGAGTTACCCAAAAAATTGGGGGAGTCGAGGGGCACACAGGGTGTATGTGGGGGTCCCTGTGGATGCAGGGGGGGTCTGGGGGTCAGTGCTGGGGTCCCTGGGGGTCAAGGAGCTGTGGGGGGGGGTTTCAGGGTCACTTATGGGGTCCTGGGGGAGGTCTATAAGGAGCTGTAGGGGAGTTCCAAAGTCACTTTTGGGGTCTGGAGGGGGAGGTAGGAAGTTATGGGGGGGTCCAAGGGTCCACTTTGGGGTTTGAGGAGGTCTATAAAGAGCAGTGAGGGGTCCCAAGGTCAGTTTTGTGGTCCTGGAAGATCTATAAGAAAGTGTAAGGGGAGTCCTAAGTGTCAGTTTTGGGGTCCTGGGGGGTCTATAAGGAAAAATGTGAGGTCCCAGTGTGAAATCTGGGGTCTGGGGAGTGGGATAGGGAACTACTGGGGGAGTCCTAGGGTCAATTTGGGATCTTGGGAGGTCTATAATGACCTGTAGAGGAGACACAAGGTCACTTTTGGAGTCTGGGGTGGGGGATAGGGAACTAAAGGGGGTCTCAAAGTCAACGCTGAGGTCCTGGAAGAGCTGTAGAGGTATCCAGAGATAAATACAGGGAACCATGAGGGTCCCAGGCTCGATGCTGAGGGCTATAGGGAGCATTGGGGAGGGCTGCAGGCACAGTAGGGAGCACTGCAGGGGGGGCTGCAGAGGGTCTGAAGGCTCCTGGGACCCCAGGGCTGCACTCACAGGCAGCGGTCGCAGGCGTTGGGCTGTGCCTCCTCCTCTCCTGCCGTCTCGGTGTTCACCGACGTCGTCTCACTGCCGGGGAGGCTGGCTGTGGAGTTGGGGGGAGGGCAAGATCAGCACCCCACGACGGGACAAAGGTGGGGGGCAGCCCTAATCTATGGGGTATACCCCGATTTTAGGGGGTGCACCCTCGTTTTTGTCGTCACCTCCTTACCGTGGGTGTCGGTGGAGTGGCTGGCGTGGCGCAGCCACTTGAGGCGAGGTTTTCTCTTCCCCATCAGCTCCTCGGCGGTCAGGCCTGCAGGGAAGGGGGACAACGAGGTGACAAAAGGAATTGGGTGGGGGGGACACGTATCTATCCCCCCCTCGGTGACATACGGTGCTTCTCGTGCTCGTCCTCATCCCCTTCCAGGTCCTCAGCCTGCGTGATCCAGTCCATGTAGCCCCGCAGGTCCTCCTCCAGCTGCTGCTTCTCCCGCAGCTTCTGGAAGTCACCGCGTGCTTTGGCCTTCTCACGTTCCTTGGAGAACTCCCTGAGGGGATGGGCACGCGTGACACACGCTAACAACATGCTAACGACACGCTAAGGACACGCTACCAGCCTGCTCACCCGCTCAGCACCCCCAGCACCAAGTTGAGGACGAAGAAGGAGCCGAAGATGACGAGGCTGACGAAGTAAATCCAGGGCAGCTCGTGGCCCATGGCATCCTGCATCTGGGGGGGCACAACGGGGGGGTGTTGGGGTGGTCCCGGGCTATTTGGGGTCACGCTGGGGGCGGTGGAATTTGGGGTGACCCCATGGGGTGACAATTAGGGTGAGTTTAGAGGGATGGAATTCAGGGTGACCGCATGGGGTGGCATTTAGGGTCAATATAGGGTGATGTCGAGGGGGTGGAATTTGGAGTGACCCCATAGAGCGACTTTGGGGGTGGTTTTGGGGGATGTGTGGGGCGACTTTAGCATGGGTGGAATTTGGGGTGAACCTGTGGGACATTTGAGGTGAGTTTGGGGGACATTTTGGGTGACAACATGGGATATTTGGGGGGAATTTGGGATGACTATGGGAAAATCGGGGTGACAACAGGGGACAATATTTAGGATAACTTTGAGGGACATTTGGGTGTGACTCTGGGGGACATTTCAGGTGACAACGTAGGATGATATTTGGGGTGATTTGGGCAAAATTTGGGGACACTGGTTGGTTTTTGATCTGAAAGTGGAACAATATTTGGGATAACTTTGGGGTGATTTTGGGGGAAGATTGGGGAAATATTTGGGGTTGACTTTGGGGGATGTTTGGGGTGATGTTAGGGGACATTTGGGGGTGACTGGGGTATATTTGGGGTGACTTTGGAGGAACTTTAAGGTATATTTGGGGGTGACTGGGAGAATTCCGGGGTGACCCCAAGAGACATTTGGGGTGGCCTCACAGAGCGACACTGGGTGACCTTTGTGGTGTCTCTGGGCAACACTGGGGCAGTTGGGATTTGTGGTAACCCCATAGCGGGGGAAAATGGGGGCTGACAAAGCAGAAAGGCAGCGTGGTCTGGACACACAAAGGAGGGAGGCACATTTTGGGGTTTCCCCCCACCCTCCCAGGGAAAGGGGGGGCTCACCCAATAGAGGACATCGGTCCACCCCTCCATGGTGATGCACTGGAAGACGGTGAGCATGGCGAAGAAGAAGTTGTCAAAGTTGGTGATGCCACCGTTGGGGCCCTCCCAGCGGCCCCTGCACTCCGTGTTGTTCTGCAAGCAGGCCCGGCCGTGCCCCGAAAAAGCACAGGGGGAGGGGTCGTCCTCCGATTCCAGGTCTGGGGGGGGTCCAGGGGGGTCATCAGCACCCCCACAATGGGGTTAGGAGGCAGTTTGGGGGATGGAGAGGGGGTTGATGTATGAGAGATGGTGAGAGATGCCTCCTCTTTGTAAGGGAGGGGGAGGTTTGGGGTGGGGGTCTCATGGGGGGCAGCTCTGGGAGAGCTTTAAGGGAGCGGGGGGGGGATCCTAACATACAGTTGTGAGGTGGTGTTGGGTGATGGAAGGGGAATTATGGAATCTTGGAGTTGAGGGTGGGGGTCTCATGTGATATAGGGGCAGGTGGCCAATGTGGGAGGGGGGTCTTGAGTAATTTTGGGAGGGGGGGAGGGCAGGGGGCCCTAGAACCCCTCTGGGAAGTGATTTCAGACAACTAGGGGCTCTCTGGAGTCCCAGAGATGGGAGATTGTCGTGGTGCACGGAAGGAGACATCCAATGGGGGGGATCCTGGGCAATTTCAGGGGAGTCCTAAGGATCCTGGTGGGGGAGAGGGAGGCAGTGGGCACCCGTGGGCACCCCTCACCAGAACCAATGAAGAAACAGGTCTTGTGCATGCGGCCGATGAAGAGCTCGAGGCCGATGATGGCGTAGATGATGATGACGAACAGCACCAGCAGGGCGATGTGCAGCAGCGGCACCATGGCCTTCATGATGGAGTTGAGGACGATGTGGAGGCCTGGGGGAGCCCAGAAGGGTTCAGCAGGAAGCTTGAGGATGAGGGGGGGAGGGTCAATGTGCCACCCCACTCCCCCACCACAGATAACAGCCCCCTCCCCAGCTCACTGGGAACGCCGGAGACGAGGCGGAGGGGCCGCAGGACACGGAAGGCGCGCAGAGCTTTGACGTCGAAGCCGCCCGGTTTGCCGCTCATGTGGTGAGCTTCACCGGGTTTGTGGGACACCTGCTCCAGGATGACGCTGAAAAGCCTGAGGGGGACAACGAGGAGGGGGTCGCGTGGGGGGTCCCCACCTCTTTGCGTCCCCCCCAAGGTCAGGGTCTCACCCCACGATGACGATGACGAAGTCGAGGAGGTTCCAGCCGTTGCGGATGTAGGCGCTGGGGTGCAGCACCAGCCCGTAGGCAATGATCTTCAGGAACGTCTCCACCGTGAAGATGATGAGGAAAACATACTCCACTTGTTCCTATGGGGAGGGGGGACAAGGGACAGGGGTCTGGGGGTGCTGCAGGCATCCCCACAGCCACTCCTCCCCCCCTGAGGACAAGGGAGTCCCTGTGTCACAACCCCACATCCACCACCCCTCCTTTGAGGATAAGGGAGTCCCCATGTCACATCCACAACCCCCCCTCCAGGGGACAAGAGACCCCCCATGGCCACCCCCCCCTTGGGGACTAGGAACCCCCTCCATGCCACATCCTCATGGCCACATTCCCCTCGGGGACAAGGGACCCCCTGTGTCACATCCCCATATCCACCACCCCCCCTTGGAGACAAGGGACCCTAATGTCACATCCCCACATCCACAACCTCCCCCTGGGGACGAGAGACTCCCTATGTCACATCCCCATGGCCACATCCCCCTTGGGGACAAAGGACTCCCAAGGTCACATCCCCATGGCCATATCCCCCCTTGGGGACAAGGGACCCTACATGTCACATAGCCACATCCACAACCTCCCCCTAGGGACAAGAGACCC